CTCGCGGGCCGCCCTCCTCCCAGGCCCCCTGTCCCCGGGCGTGTCCCCCGCTCCCGCGTCCCATCACGGGAGCTCAGCGCAGAGTTCTGAGTTCCAGAACTAGCCGCCTTTCCGTTTCTGGATCTCTGGCCTCTGTATTCTTGAGCTGTCCCGCTTCTGTGGCTTTCAGCTGATGAGATTTCACCACCTGTCCACTTCCCGCCGGTCATTTCCACTTTGCGATCCGTTTTGGTCCATAAGTGTTACCTATCGAGACCTTTACAGTGTTACAGACGAAAAGATTGACAGTAGTGAACAAATACCTAGAGCGTCCTAGTGTGCTTAGACACGACACAACGAGTTCCTAAATAAACTACATTTTAAGTGGTGGTCGATTACGGAGGCACTAGGGGAGATGTAGTTCAGAGTGCCAGGCGGTGAGTAGTGGATCCTTCAGAAGACCAGGAAAAGCTTCCCAGGAAGTGACAATAATTAGAACCTGACTATTAAGAGGGGAAACTCTTAAAAGGGAGGGCCGGGGCAGCTTAAGGCAGCCCTCTATGGGGCGGGGGAAGGGGAGAAGAAGCGTATCTCACACAGATGAAGACAGGGGAATAATTGTTACATATTTGAATCTAGAAATGAAATTCCTGGCTTTGTTTTACAGCCAGATCAAGTGACCAGCAATGTTTTAGAATGGTGCTGTGGCAAAATTTGCTGAAGAACCCATGAGCTGCTTATCATTTCACTACCTGAAAATTTCACCCAGATTTGGTGGCTGACGCAGGGAACGTTTATCGTCTCCCAGTCTCTGGATCAGTAGCTTTCGGTGCAGTTTAGCTGGGGCACTAAGATGTGGGCTGCAGTTGCAGACCTCTTGGCCCTGTTGGGGGAGCTTCTACTTCCAAACTCAGTCTAGTTCTTTGCTGTGTGACTCTCCATAAGATAGCCGATTCCTGTCAAAAGAAAGAGATAGAGCACTCTGACATTCTATTCTGTCTTTCATTTTTGAAACCTAATCCAGGAAGTGATATGCCACTGCCCTGTTTTATTTGAGGGAGTCAGTAATTCTAGACCAGTTCAAAGGGGAGAGGATTACACAGCAAGAAAGCCAGGAGATGGGGATTACCAGGACTGGCTTCAAGATTGCCTGACAACTGAAGGATCCTTGATGCTCCGTTTTCAGGTCGTCTCCTCTTTTTGGTTCCAGTTACTGGGGATGGTGTTTGGGAATGGACTTATCAACTTCGCAAGGTTATTATAAAATAATGAAATAGTTTTAGGGCTGCAAGAGGTTTGATATTAAAGGGTGTTATTGAGAGGTTAGCTAGCTCTGTACCCATTAAAAGATATCTACAACAATTTATGGTTGTTAGAGCCACAAGTGTGGGATGAGAAGCATAACACTGCATTTACTATATGCCACTAATCGTCCTAAGTGCCTTTTATGGATTTTTGCTCTTCCAGCTGTCCTAGGAGGTAGGTGCTGTTCTCTTCTTTTGGAGATGAGTGAAGTAAGGCTAGCCAAAGACACAGTGAGTGAGGGCCATCCAAAAAGAACCTACACAGATTGACTTTGGAACACTCTGTTTTAATGCCTGTTCAAAAGAATTTTGGGACATTGTTAAATTCTCCATCATACATAGTGATAATCTTTTTAAATTGTTGTCTTCTTTTATAATACTGTATTTCATGTGTCACCAAGAGAATAAAGTTGTGTATTCATCTGAATTACCAGACTTCTTACTTGGTCTGATGTGTTTAGTTGGATGCTGAATGATATTGGTTGCTTGCTTCTGATTTTTTATGATCATTTTCGGGAATCATCAATAAGCTATTTTCAACTACATGCCAATGTGGAAATTCTGTTTAGGCTTACCTTTGATCATGCTGTTTCTGTGTTGAATGTACTTGAATGTTTATGAAATTTATGTTCTGTCAATAAACAGAATACATCTCAAAACCAAATAAAGCATGTACCCTTCCTGATACATATTAAGTTGTACTCAATAGATCTACCATATTGTGTGGCATTGCCAGTTTTTTTCTTTTCCTTCACTACTAAACATGCATATTTGTTCGTGGACAGTTCTCATGATCCTCAAGAGAAAAAAATTAATGATGTATGGGCATGTACACTTTAAGCATCTACAGGCAGCTCTGGGCTTGTACTACTTTGTATCTGGCACAACAAAGTTATGTGTCTCAAACTTGAATATACTTAAAATTTTCCCAGCAAGTTTCAGTGGTAATGTTGGAAGACCTTCACAAAGTTTAGTTCTAATACAAGTAGCCCTTTAATTTAACTAAGGAAACGACACTGACAAGGGCTAGGAGAAAACAAGAACTTGGGAGGCACTGAGTTTAGTATTTTTGCCCTCCTCTTTTTCACATTCACTTTAAGAGCATTCCCTTTGCTCTTGACCACGGATGCGTTATAGATTTTGAACAGTGGCTTTTTTCTTTTTTTGATTGACCATTGCCATAATTGATAGAAATTTGTCAGATTTGTCCTTGTAACAATGGAATTTCAGAGGTAAAAATACAGATTATTTATTTTTTTGGCAAGAAGCAGAGGAATGGTATTAATACACTCCAAATGGGAGAGAATAGTGGCCTTGAAAGCTGCAACTTAGTATACTTTGTCACACAGATAAAAGCAACAAATAGATCAAAACTGAGCTAAATCATGAAGTAAAATTATACCTAGTAGTTATAAAGGAAACAGTTATACACATTTTTCGACTATAAACAATTTCTCTAAAAGAAGTGTTCACAATACGAAAAATACTTCAGTTTCTGAGATGCCAGTATCCCTAATTGACCTAAGTAAGCAGTCATTCACTGGAGAAAAGGGGTTCTGAGTAGTTAAGGACTACAGTGTGGTATGTCTTCCATCACCCTCTATGTGCTGAGGATTTGTTCTTGATTCTTTGTGGGTGGCCAGAGAGGGGACAGGTGGTGTTTTTCTTGGCAGGATCCTTAAATGACTATGATGATGTTTTTAGACTTAGTGAGAGACAAGAAATGAAAACAACTAGCTAGAATATAACCCTATATAGGAAAGTGCTAAATAGTTGAGACATGTGGAGGAGAGGAAATGATTAACTGGTAGAGGATGCTGGGGCTGGGGCTGTGTAAGGAAAGGTGTTATTCCAAAGTGGCGATTGAACTGGGCCTTGACAGGTTTAGGGACGAAAGGTGGAAAAGTATTCCAGGGTGAGAGACGACTGGTGAAGGTGTGAAAAGGGGCCACCCCAGTGCAACATTGGCTCTCAGATTTGGGGAGCATAGGTAGTGTGGAAACAAGGCTGCCAAGGGGAACTGCCTGACTGGAGAAGCCCTTATTCTTGTTAAGATAACTGAATTTAGTAACAGCAGCCATTGGGAAATTGTAGACTAGGGATAGGCTCCAGCTTCTTGATTTTGTAGAAACTGAGAGAAGGGTGTTGCAATCAAGAATAGTTTTGGAACAAAGATACATTAAAGTGAATTAGTTAAGTCTTGCTATATAGTTCAGGCCAGGGAAGGTGGGGGTCTATTTTTTTAAGTGGGACAGTAGAAATTAAAGGCAGAGGGTTGGTATCTGTTGAGGAACAGAACTTGCACACTAGTGCCTTTCCTAATAAGAAGTAACCATAAGTCACTATCCAGACTAACTTTTCACTGTGCTGCTGTGCCAAGATGTGAGTTAGACATGCTCTAGTTACAGTAACAGATGTCGGATTGCCTACTGTGCTGTAAACTTAGATAGAATGGCTAGCAGTGAGGAGCTCCATGTAAAGGATAGAATGATATATTGCTCCAAAACTTTACATTATGGGAGAGCTTACCAAAACAATGCAGACTGCTTAAAGATACCTAACTTGATGTAGACAAGGTATCCAGATGCCAGCATTTGGGTAACATGGCACATTTGACAGTGTCCAAACCTCAAACCTCTGTATACTTTTTATGGCAGACAGCTGCATCATTTTTTGTTGTAGGAGCAGCAGTCTCACCAGGTTTCCTAGGCTGACCTTGGATTTATGGTAATCCTCCTGCCTCTGTCTCCCGAGTACTAAGATAACAGGCCCAAACTATTGCCACTCCTCTTTAAAATTGCATCTTTATAAGCCATGCTACATTCCTGAGAGAATGCAGCATATCACATCCACGCTGTGCTAATGTGTTTGCATATTTACAAGTAAATACAACTTTCATGGTGCTAGAGAGATGGCTCAGAGGTTAAGAGCCCTGGCTGTTCTTCCTCAGGTCCTGAATTCAATTCCCAGCAACCACATGGTGGCTCACAACCATCTGTATTGGGATCTGATACCCTCCTCTACATTCAGATAGAGCACTCATATTCATAAGATCAACAAATAAGTTTTTAAAAAAATACAACTTTCAGGAAGGAAAAGAAATTTTTTTTAAATTAGAACTCACATGTATTTCCACTGACCAGTTCCTTAAAACTATGGAAGATAGTTTGTTAATAAGACCTAAGAGAGAAAGTACTCTTAGACTATTTCATGCTGTTAAATCTCCCCAGATTTAGTTTTATCCAGTGAAATTAATGCAAAACCCCAATGCAAGCATCCGGATTTTGAAAACTTTGGAGGAGTGTCATTCTGTAATAGTAATTATTGGTTTTACATTATTTTTTCACAGGGGAACTGATCACAGCCGCACATGAGCTTGGAGTAAGTATTAGTTTTATTGTTTAATCAATGCTCTCATTAACAGTTTTAGGAATTAAGAAAGTTTAATTAAGCATGGAATAAAGTAGATTAATTTATTTTCAAGCCCTAGTTTTTAGTAACTTATAAGTACAGTACATGACAATTTACTTTAAGTTTTAAATCCAATTAACTGAAATTATAAAGCAAAGCCTTTACTATATATACAGTAGCTGGCTTATTATCATCCCAAATTTTGTATAAGCTGTGGAGAATAAATCGGGTTAACAATTTTAATAAGTTTATTATTTAATAAACTTTATTATGGTGTGTGATCCCTTTAGTCAAGACCTTATGACTGTCAGCGCGGTGGTAATCCCATAGCAGTGTGGTCTTTCGACTCTAACCAAGGCATGTTTCAGGGCCTGCCTGCTTTCAGTAACCTTTTCAATGACCCGAAAGTACTGTAAACCTAGAGCACAGACTGCTTAAGGACTAGCAGTGGAATATGCCACCCTCCCTTCAGGTGACGTACTGCACGATAGGCACACCAGAGCCACCAAAGAAAACAGCTATATTGACACAAGAAGATTACAATAGGAAGCCACTGTTCAGACATTTAGTCCTCGAGTCATAGTCCTCATGCTGGCCGGAGAAAAGGGCTACTTTTTCAGCTGAAGCCAGTGCGACGCACCTTTCCAGATGAAAACTTCTGACGGTTGCTTCTTTTTTCCATAGGTTGCCCATCCCCCCGGGTATCCTTTGTTCACACTGGTGGCTAGCCTGGCAATCACTCTCTTTCCATTTGGTTCCGTTGCCTACCGAGTCAATCTTCTCTGTGGCTTATTTGGAGCGGTAGCTGCTTCACTCCTTTTTTTCACCGTTTTCAGGTAAAGTAGTTGATTAGTTAGTTTTGAGAATTAGTGATATGGGTTCCTCATGACCAGCTACATATATTTGTAAAATCTTTTGTTGCTGAAGTGGCTTCCCTAAGTCACATAATTTCACTTTTTTACGGGAATTTCATAACCCCTCAGATGTTTACACAGTTGGCTCTGCTTTGGACAGTGGGTTGAAGGTGTCACCTGTCCATTATCACAGTTCTCTGGTTAGGCAGGACTAATGAGGACTGTCACTTTACAAAGATGAGGGTGGGCTGACTTAACTCAACAACACAAAGCTTGTCTTTTGTAGATAGTCAATTCACTTAATTACTCACTGTGCTGCAGATGGGCAGCTGCCTCTCAGGCTGGGCCTGAGACCTGATTATAAATATGAACATAACTTGTATGCTTGTGGAAACCAGGCTGTCACATTTGGGGTGTGGTTTGAGCTGATTATATTATAAATATGAACATAACTGTAAGCTTGTGGAAACCAGGCTGTCACACTTGAGGTGTTGTTTGAGCTGATTACATTATAAATATGAACATAACTGTATGCTTGTAGAAACCAGGCTGTCACATTTGAGGTGTGGTTTTAGTGAGATTTCATGTAGTCCCACCGTAGCCATAGGCAAGGGAGACACAATAGATCCCACTGACTTCAGTGATGGAGGCATTCCTTGTGGGAAGCTACTGTGCTTTTAATAGATTGGTCACTATTTAGGACATTGGTGAACTCCTGTGCCTCTGATGTTTCTATCTCCTTTCTTAACTTAGTCCAAACCTGTTTCCTAAGAGGATGACACCAAAAAAGTAGAAATTGTACTTTGTGGAAAAATGACAAAAAACAAAGTCCTGTGTTCAAAAGCTTTTGTAAGCTTTTCTTAAGTAAAGAAATTAATGTAAATATAATATAATTTGAATAGATTCAATTACCATTGTTAATTTTGCCACCTAGCATTTTTAATATAATAGTCATAGTATTGTGCTTTAAATTCTAGGTTTCTTTTGAATTACTTATAGAAGTGGAAAAGCTAACATAATAACTCTAATATTTACCTTTAATTCTATTTGTAGAATGGGTTCAGAATCAACTATTATAGTTTTGACAATTTGCTAAATTTTATCCTTATCACTTGATATGTTTCTATTTAACCTTACATATTTTCATTGGTAGTCAGTCCTTTAATAGTCTTGGTTGCTTAGTGTTATTGATATTTTTTCTAAAAGGTTGGAATAATTTCGATCAAAACTATTTCTCCTGAATTTTCTATGACTAAGTACCTGTCAGTTTCCATTAAGAGAGAAACTGGTTTTTGATTTTTAAATATCTGGGTTGAAATTTGGAACTTAACCTGTTCAATATTGAAGACATAAGTTACTAATTTTCACAATAAGCTTTAAGATAGGCACTTTGGTGCTGTGAATTGTGTGTGTGTGTGTGTGTGTGTGTGTGTGTGTAGTGTGTGTGTGTGTGTGTGTGTTCTCATGCTGAGGCAAGTAGGGCAATTGGTGTTCTAAAACTTTCATATTTTCTCACATACTGTTGATGGCATTCCATAAAGCGCTACTATTTTTAAAATCATATAAAAACCTCTTCCAAATCAAATAGTTTTAGACAACAATTTTCCTTTAATTGTCCAGTTAGGTATAGATTTTATTGCTTACTGTGCTTGATTATGTGAATTTTAGATGAGCCCATTAGCATGCAACTCTGATTTAATATACAACACTGTCGATGAATCATCACACTTGCTGTGATTTTGAATCAGAACTCTAATGCTACTAAAATGTGAGTGGTTTTACTAATACAGTCCTTTAGAAAAGTTGTTTTCTCCCCGAGAAAGAATCCAATGACGTTATTGCTCACATGCACTTTAATATGAAAACACTTCATTATTTTGAATACAAATAACTGACAAGGTACACGTCCTTTGGGAACAACCCAGTTCAAGTGGCAAATCTGTTTTGTCAAACAATAGACACCCTTCAGAAAGGAGAAGCCATCTCTATGGTAATAGGACTAACAGTAGCCTATTGATTGAGTGGAAGAAGACATTATACAATGTCAGCTGGCTTGTTACAATTTCATTTGTTGTATGACCTGAACTTAACCTCTGAAACCTTTCTTCTGTGAATGTAAACCCAACAGCAGGAGAGTTTTTGTGCAGCCATTATAGTGGTGGCTTTTTCCAGCCCTGGCCTACAGTAAATATATTCCTTTACAGGTTGCCTCCTTGCTCAGAATTTGTTTAGGAGACATTTCACTTCTTTAATCATTTACAGACCAAGTCATCTTTCCATTTTGTTGTTGACTATTGAAGGGTTTTGGTCCAGGAAGCAGTTTGGTTCTTTCTTTCTCCTATCACTTAAGAGAGCATTACTGTACATGGAGGTTAGAGCTGACTGGTGTGCAGTAAATTAATTCTTTTTCAGGTAATTGTTCACGGAGCATTCACTATATTTAGCTCTTGGGGTGGACATAAAGACCTTCTGTACCTTTTAAACAAAGATTGTGTTTCAAAAGCAAATTTCTGTTTAAATGTGTTGATGTAAAAAGCTCCATTTTTTTCCAGTAAACATGACTTAGATTGAAAGAACAATTTATTCGTTGTTTCCAATTACTATATAATTTTTGCTTTTCTTGTATCCTTCTCTTGCTCTTAAAAGCTGTAAGATATCATTAACACTGCATTTTTTGTCAGTCTTTCTTAATGGTTGGCAGGAGATCAGTTTTATTTGATTTGCTCGAATGTAGAAAGCATGAGTAAAATAGCACACTGAAAGCAGTATGTGTCGGTGCAGCTCATTGAACTAAAATAGGGAGAGCATGCTTCTTTGGGAATAGTGTGCCCTTTGGGGCATTGGAAAGCCTGCATTTTGTTAAGGGAACTTAATCTTTCATTTTTGTGATATAATATTCAATTCATCCCTATACCTTTATATTAAGCTATGTAATTAAGTTATTTTAAATGAACAATAATTGTTCATTTAAGGCCACTGAAGTAAATAATTTTTAAATTTGATAATATGTGATTTAAAGTATCCTATTTGTAATTCATAGATGCTATATACAAAAATTTTAAAGTTGTAGGTAATTTAAATCATAAATATGAATGCCATCTATCTTTGCCTACTATTTGAATTTTAAGTTATTTTCCAGGAAATGTCTAATTAGATCCTATTGTAGTGAATCAGGAAGAATGCTAAAGTCATAATCACACATCTACGTCAAACACATTTCCTATGTGCTGCTATCACTTAAAGAGAAGAGAGCACACTGACAGCATCATATTAAAAAAAAAAACAAAACGCTGTACCCCGGGAAGATTTAACTGTTTATAGTCTCCAGTGAGGACATGTCTTAGAACATTTGTTAGAAGAGGTACCAGGTAAGAAATACATTCTCAATAGCCTTGAAAGTCAGCAAATTAAGATGGGGATGATTTCCAGCTGTTACTGGCCAGGTGGAGCTAGAGAAAAATCCATTCCACAGTGTTTATTAAGCATCCAATGAGAAATGAAAGTAAAATGCTTCTAGTTTTCATTACAAAAAATCACTTTTAAAGAAAGTTAGGTAAACCATCCACTAAATAAGCAGATCTTCAGATATTCTAAAAGTCCCTGTTCTGGAAATTTATAAAAGCAGTGAGACCATTAGCACAGTATGATAAGAAACCAGGTCTCTTAGTGTCGAATATGTTATGTAGACTATCTGTGTATCAGTAATCATTGGTGTGTTGGAACTACAGAGAAGTTGCCATCAAGTGCAGCAATAATAGTTGACTTATCTTCTGACAGGTTATTTTGTGTTCATGTTTTATGCTTGGGGTTTTGTCATTTTTATAATATGTGTTTCTAAGCATTAAAAGCTAATTTGATTATAGTTTTGGAAAGTGCTTGATTCTGAGCAGTGTGTCTGCTACTCTTACAGCTACCATTTAGATTCCACTCAGTAAAGAAGAGAAAATTAAAATGCCATACCTTGGAGAATGCAGAATCTCCTGCTTAAGGGACATTTGGATTTTCCAGCTCAAAGAGTGTTTTAGATTATTGCCATAAAGAATAATGGGAAGCACTGCCTAATTTCAGAAGTAACTATGCATAAGTAACACATCATCACCAAGCTTCCATACTTGGAGAAGAATGGGAAGTACCAGAGCATTCATTTCCATTCAGGGGAATATCTGTCTTGATCCCTGGTTAATTGATCACATGTTTTTCTCATACGTGTATTAAAATTGCATTGACTCAGGTTGGTTAAGCATATTAAGAGCCCAGCTCATTTGCATTTTCTTCTAAGTTGAGGGACATATTAGGCTCAAATAGCAGTGCTTCATTTTGAAGGGAGAAAAGCAGGGCAAAACTCTTTTAAGACTGTGGAGTCTTTTCTGACAGCTAGTCAGAGTTAGAATTAGTTCAAGGAGATGTTAATAATGCACTGCCTGGCCTAATCCCTTTGATATCACCAGGTACCCTCCTGTTCATGGGTTAATTGCTTTAAAAGCGCAGGCAATATTCTGAGCGGTGGGCCGCTTCACCTTTTCACAGCTGTTACCATTGAGTGACAACTAAATCCCATGTGTAAGATGAGGAAGAGCTCAATCTCCAATTGGGAGAAAATTTATGTAAACCGCAATCCCTTCAGAATGTGCGGAAGTCATAGACTTTCTTGATTTACTCTGCTTTTCCCAGAAAGCTCTATTGTTCACTTTCCTAAGTCCCATCAACCCTTTGTAGCAGAATATCACAGCGGCAGCAGATAGCTTGAAATATATAAATGCTATCATAGCTCTGATTAATAGCAGTGCTTATGAGTCAAGCCTGATAACAGTGCAGCTCTCCACTCAATTTCAGATACTGCTAATGGAATCTGTCTTCTCCAATTGTAATATGAGAAGGCCTAATTTGCCATGGAGCTTGGAGCTGTCACCAGTAGGGGATTGTGGGGTCAGATGGGAGCTGCCAGGTTTTTGCCCTGCAGCTTGTATCTCTCACTTTGAATA